CTGCATTGGCAGCATTGGAGGCAGGATGCGTGCCACCTCCTGTCGACCGCCTGCAGGTAGAAACGATCGGTGATCCTTAGGCAGCAGCCGGCGCAGACGGTGGGATCGTCCGGGTGGATGGGAGGCGTCGGAGGCGTGGGCGGCGTGCTCGGCGGATCCTGCAGAGGTTCGAGCTTCGGGATGTGGATGTGCTCGAAGGAGGCGGAAAGCTGCGACCCGCACAGTTCCGTCGTCTGTCCGACGACGCTCCCTACACCACCGATGACACCTCCTCCTGATCCTACACCGCCTCCAGGTCTGCTGCAGATGTCCGAGGCACACGAGCTTTGATGGTGATTGTTGTTCGAGGGTGTGCTGCAGGAACTGCCGCTCGAGATGCTCGGCTCGGCGTCCCCCATGGACGAGTCGCACGACGGCAGATTCGGCGAGAGGTCGCGGGATGGGTCGTACGCCGGGCCTAGGTACTGTTCGTGCTGCTGCTGATGATGATGACGACGACGACAACCACGATGATGAAAAACAACCATGAAAGAAAAAGAAAACACAAAATTAGTTCAATTTATTATTCAGAATACACACATTTCAATGGTCAACAAAACCAGTATATGATTATTATTATTATTATCATCAAGAAGCGGAGACTTCAACAGGTGACGTTTCACCGTCGAAGGGAACTGCACATGATTGATCCGAAACAAAATCAATTTTCTTTGGGAATTAACGAAACCCATCTCGGAATCGATCAATCATTCCAAACGAGGACTTCGAAACGGGACTCTCGCGAGATGCAGATAGAAAGAAATAAAGAAAGTGGAGAAACGAAGCACTCCTACATACAAAATTGTCTATTTACTATTTACAGACTTACTTTTACTATTTACTCTATTTAATTAAACGAACGCCAGCTTTAAATCTGCTTATCAACTATACGGGTACCAACGGTCCCAATTAATGTGCGAATGCATCCATAATATTATTTAAACAGCTGCTAAATATCTCTTTTTCCCTTACATTCACATCTTCGAATTAATATTAAGTCATTTCTAATAATTAAGCAACTTCAAATCGTCAGCTTACTTAATGAATACAAATATAAACATTTGCATTATGTACAATTATTTATACCATAAAATGTGTTAATGGAATGAACTGCGTGACTTATTTTCATTCAATATATAACATCTTTAAATTTGTAAATTCAAATTAGAATATTATTTGATAAATAATTAATAAAATTTCATTAAAACTATATTTCAGAATTCCAATAATTGAAAATAAAATCATATGTTGGAAATATTAATTAACTGATTTTTTTTTTCAAGGAATCATTAATGCAAATTAAATTAATTTTGAATGAAATTAATTAATTGTTGTAATAATAGTTTCAAACATTTATCATTTTAACGAATCCCAAGAAATATGAAATCTTTTCGGAATCTCTGAAACTATCGCTCTTTGATTTTAATGGGTCCTCTCTCTCAATGGGTGCGATGGTAGCTGGTAATTGCAACATTATAAATCATTGAATCTCGTTTGCGTCGCCTCTTAATATCATTACAATTTGCGACCATCAACAGAGGGAAGAGTGTCGAGAAGAGACATTCCCGGTGAGGAAATAAAGAAGAGAGGCAGGCAGGCAGGCAGTCCGTTAGGTTGTCGGGCCTTTAAAATTCTCGAAATGCGTTTTGCAAAAGGCGAAATCATATTTTCGCGAGTCGTCCGCTGCTCTCTCCGTGGAATTCCTCACGCCGCTTTATTTTATTCCATGCCTCCGATCCTCCGTATATGAATGTATGTGTATATAAAATACATACATATATATATGTGTGCATTTTTTTTTCCTCTCCTGGTCTCTCTCATCTCCTTTGCTCTTGTTATTGCAGATGCTTTTGATATACGTGCGTGTTCCGTAATTATTTGCAACCGCGCTGTAAAGTATAAATATGAAGAAAGGAGAGAAAAGAACCTGCAGACTTTTCAACGGTCCGCACCCGATGCGTATGAAATATACTCGCTCCATATCGTGTATATATTATATAAATTCCAGTTCTCGAGATGATTTACATTTTCTAACGGCCGGATAAAATTCATCGCGTCGATCCGTCGTCCTCGATATTTATTTATTTCTGTTCGATTACTCTTCTTCGTGTGATGGTTTTAATGGTAGTTAGTTGTTGCTGTTAAGGTGGTGTTGGTGGTTGTGGTAGTCTTCTTTTGTTCGTTAGTTTGTTTGTTTTGTTTTAGGTAGCAACGGCGTCGTCGTCCTATGGTTGCGTGATTCCGCTGGGTCGTCCTCCCGATCCGCGTCTCTCCTCACCCGGGTCTCTCGGATCCGGGCCTCTCCACCCGGAGGAAGGAATAACTCTTCAGGCGCGGCCGCCGCCGCCTGACACGAACGCACTACTTCCTCGCCTCGCGTCCGACCCGACCATTAATCCCCGCCTCGGACGCAGCCGTCTGCCTCAGATTACGCGATATTTACAACCTCCGGAAGACCTCGAACCCCTAAACACACTATCCGCAATCTCCTATCTGTATCTCTGCTCATTCACTCCAAAAAAACACCAGACTTCCTATCATATCAATGGTCCTCTCCTTCCGTTCCAAACCATATCATAATCCTCAATCCTCAAACATATTACCAAATCTTACTAAACTCCTTCTTAGACAAACTCCAGGTCTTCAAATTTCATTGATTTGATTTGTTTTGAATTTTCAATCTTAATAATTATAAAAGTCTTCCATCCTAAAAACCAGCACAATTATTCCAAATCTGAGCATCACCAAAACCTGAAACTTCAAACAGCACCGACCATGCGATATCAATAACTCTTCAAAACTAGATTATCGTAATGATCAAATCAATTATTCCAATTCATAGAAGAAGAAAAAAACTAACTATTATTTTATCAAAGAGTAGGAAGTCATCAAAGCACTCATAATCGTTAACCGCATACCCAATTACGTAAACAGATAGTTTTAATAATCTTAAAGATTTCTCCGAAAAGCGATTGCATCCAAAAATATACGAAATAAAAAATGAATAAA